AATTTGTAGAATATGTGTATTGGTCATTGGTGGAACGCAAGGATTATCCATTCTTTTACGTACGTACGCACGCACCTTTTGGGCACCTGAAATGTATTTTATACATGCAGTTAGCATCCATGCATGAATTATAATGTTGACATCTTCCTTGCGTGTGTAGTAGTACTCTTACGTATATAAATGTGTGTATATTTCAGTATGAAGGTGCAGTAAAAGAAGATGGAAGAGGACCAAGCATATGGGATACCTACACCCACAAACATCCAGGTCTGTGATTTGATCAATTGGTAATTAATATGAAAACTTTAGCTACTTCCTTTCAAAGGAGTATAAATAGCACCTCATTCTTTTCTTCGTGAGGATAAGTAAACTCCAACCTCTCTAATAACCATGCACTTTGTTGGGAGACCAATAGTACGTGGTCATGTGATATGTACAATATACGTATATACTTCATCAATGTGCATGCATATAAAGTACTTTGCACATGACATGGATTTCACCATTATGTTTTTTAATAACTGCAAAAAAAATCGCTGATGGCGGTAACGAAGACGTTGCTATAGATCAATATCACCGCTATAAGGTCTAGAACCTCATTACTTTGTCTCTTGACCCTTTATAGTTGAAGGTCACATGTTAACATATTAAATTGGAGCCTTTATAAAAAAAAAAAAAAGGGACAATGTTTAATGAGATCCTCAATATTTAATTTTAAACTTTTGTCATTCTAGGAAGATGTGGGGATTATGAAGGATATGGAGTTGGATGCTTACAGATTCTCTATTTCATGGTCCAGAATATTACCAAGTAATTTGCTCCACATTCTCATATTTCGTTGGCACCAATGTCAATATTGTGCATAAGAATTATTTTTCCTACAAGAAAATTATTCTCTTTGTATACTTTTACTAAAGTAATGTGATTGAGTTATCTACTGGGTAACCCTTTTTTTTTTCTTGCTATTTTTGTTCTAATTAGATGGAACGTTAAGTGGTGGCGTTAACATGAAAGGAATTGATTATTACAACAATCTCATCAATGAACTCCTACGCAATGGTTAATTATCCTACCTTAAACAATTATTACATGATTTTTCAGAACATCATTCAATCAGACTTTTAATTTGATTTTACTGATGATGTATTACAGGTTTAAAGCCGTTTGTAACACTCTTTCATTGGGATGTTCCCCAAGCTTTAGAAGATGAATATGGTGGTTTCTTAAGCCCTCGTATTGTGTAAGTGAACAAAATTTATTTTCTCATTGATAATTTGATAAAATACATACTAATATACGTAACATAAATTTGTATCTACAGCGATCATTTTAAAGACAATGCAGAACTTTGTTATAAAGAATTTGGTGATCAAGTCAAGCACTGGTTCACGTTAAATGAGCCACATACTTTTAGTAATATGGGTTATGCTCTTGGGGGTTGTGCACCGGGACGCTGCTCTTCTTGGCAAAACCTAAACTGCACCGGTGGAGATTCGGCCATTGAACAATACTTGGTGGCACACCACCTTCTTCTTGCTCATGGAGCATCTGTAGAATTGTACACGAACAGATATCAGGTTCAATAATTGTTTTTTTTTTCTTTTTTTTTTTTTTTTTTTTTTTGGGTCAGATTATTGGCTCCTAAATATGAATTCTATATTAATCCTTATTATTGAGTTGTATTACAAGAGGGAATACTCTCGGTAGTAAGATAATCTAAAGGATGAATCTTTATTTTGATGTTGACTTGTGTCGTGTTGCGAATAGTCTCTTGATTGGGAAGGAACTCGTGTGCTTCAGCAAGGGTGCCTCCATATGAGCTCTTCAATGGGCCCTTGAAGGTAAGGAGTTGACCGGTGATTGGTAGTTTCGGGAGTGATGAAGTACGGTACAAACAACAAATATCAAATTTTCCTAAAGCTCTTAAATGTATATTTTATCTATTTCGACGTGATTACTTTGCCGAATCCCCATTGTGCTCATTTACTTTTGTAAATCTCGTTGTTCCCTTCGAATCCATACATTATGCGCCAAAACTGACAAGAACATAGCTACGTTAACTCGAACAATTTAAACACTCCAAAACATAAACTTTGGGGAATACGACAATGATAAATAACCTATTAACCTATAAAATAACAATTCTTCTGTCATTTTTCTTAATTCAATGTCGGTCCCTTCTTTAATTTTATTGCGTCACCTAATTTTAACTTATATTAGTTATAACACAAGAGTGGTCCTTGTGGCTGGGGTTAACTCTAACACGCAACTGTGAAAAAATTAAAGCCCTTGGCACTAGGACGAGGTTATCCTTTAAAAAGATCCACTTTTCATATAACTATTGTATTGAAAGATATATCTTTCGATGAAGAGGAAGAAATGGATAAAAGGAATTCTATAAATTAGAGATGAGGAACACTTAAAGGAAGAATATTTTATATTTTAAAAAATACAGTTACGCTATATTTTGTTATGCATAAAAAAAATCGAATGAGTAAAAAAAAATACAAACAGATGTCACGTTTCATGATATATGTAGTAGTGGGGGATTATGGGACAAAAAGTAATTCCATTTGGCATGGTGCTAGAACCTAGTTTCGATATGTTTTTGCTGGTATTGATCCAAATTTAGATGCTCAAGTGGAATTTGGTGCATTCCAAAAACTTTGAGATCCAACTACAAGAAGACAAGTAGTCTGATACAATATGCTTTGTCACTTGTTGCTTTTGTGTTTTTTTGAAAAAAAATTAGAAAAATTTGAGGGCGGGGGGTCAAACTTTTGTGTTTTTGAATTATAAAAATATATATAAATGAAAAATATTAAATCAAAATAAATAGATGTAAGCTAATAAAAAACGAGTCTCTTGAAACTGCTAATCATTTTCTTGTACTACCAAGATGAAGCCACCCCAATGGGTATCGTTTCACAATCTTTAGGAGGACAATAGCCAATTTGAGAACCTAGCTATTTCGATGACTTCTTAATTAGCGTGGAAAGACAATTTCACAAAACCACTGGGTTTACGGATTCAATATTAAAACTCTAACAAGAAGAAAAAGGTCAAGATTAAATTCTTCATCTTTATCGATTTTGTACTTACGTAAAGAATTATGGTCATAAATTTCTACTTTTTTGTTGGGTCAAATGATTTTCTATTGTTTGAATAAGTCTCTATAGCTAATCCTCCATATTCAACTTCAAAAGTTATGCCCTTCAACAGTTGGACAGACATAATATAAACAAGCAGATAAATGACTCTTTGTTTCCAAATGCAGAAAACATTTTGTTTTGCTGGAAAACTCAAGGGCAACTCAAGGATTGATCATTTCAAATTAAGACGAGATCGATCGAACTATTGTGTACATTATCTTACTTTTCAACCCAAGGAATAAATTTTTTTTTATAAATAATGTATTTCTGTAGTATAAGTTATTAATTTCTTAATCTTAATTTGAATATCATAGATGCAAATAACTATTCAAATTGAAGACTGTTTAGTCGCCAAATGTATCAATAAAATGAACAGTTCGTTATAAATCTTTTACTTAGTGTCTACACTGTCGATTTGGTTCATATATTTAAATGACTAAACGATCTCAAACTCAAATAATTCTTTTTGTTTAGATGATCTTGAAATAAAGATTAAGAAACTGAACGATCACAATATAAAATTTGTAGAATATGTGCATTCCCCAATGGTGGAACGCAAGGATTATCCATTCTTTTACTTACATACACAACTTTTGGGTGCAAGAAACGTGCTTTCTTTTAAATTACAGACCATGACTTGGTCTTTAAACTAGGACTTTCAAAGCCAATTTTGTTTACAAATTTTAACCCTTTACTATTCTCATTCTTGTACTAGCAAGAAGAATGTGTTACTACTATACTTTGAAGGGTGTCCAAACCTTCTTAAAAGCCACTTCAATGGTATCCTTTCACAATCTTTAGGAGCAAAATAGCCAACTTGAGAGCCTAGTTATTTCCAAAACCACTGGGTTGACAAATTCAACATTAAAACTCTCAAAAGAAGAAAAAGATCAAGACTAAATTCTTCATCTTTATCGGTTCTGTACATACGTAAAGAATTTTGTTCATAAATTTCTACTTTTTTGTTCAGTCAAATAATTATCTACTGTTTGAACAATTCTCTGTAGCTAATCTACCATATTGAACTTCAAAAGTTATGCCTTCAACAGTTGGACAGACATAATATAAACATGAAGATAAATGACTATTTGTTTCCTAATGCAGTTAACGTTTTCTTTTGCTGGAAAACGCAAGGGTAACTCAAGGATTTATCATTTCAAATTAAGATGAGATTGATCGAGCAGTTGTGTACATTATCTTACTTTTCAACTCAAGGAATAACTTTTTTTGTATAAATAATGTATTTTTATATACATAGTACAAGTTATTAATTTTTTAATCTTAATTTTGAATGTCATATATACAAAGAACTATTCAAATTGAAGAGAGTTTAGTTATCCAAATATATCAATAAAATGAATAATTCATTATAAATCTTTTACTTAGTATTAATACTGTTGATTGGGTTAATATATTTAAATGACTAAATGATCTCATATTCAAATAAAGATTAAGAAACTGAACCATCACGATACAAAATTTGTAGAATATGTGTATTCCTCATTGGTGGAACGCAAGGATTATCCATTCTTTTACGTACGCACGCAACTTTTGGGCACCTGAAATGTGCTTTCTTTTAAACTACAGACCTTGACTTGGCCTTTAAACTAGGACTTTCAAAGCCAATTTTGTTGACAAATTCTAACCCTTTACTATTCTCATGAGCTAGTACGTAGACACCATATCCCTTCCTCCCTTTCTCTATATAAACCCCATGCAATCTTCCAGGAGGAGATAACTTAATTATCTCTATCGATATCAAAACTCCCAAGTTATGGCAATGAAATATTCACGATCTTTGCTCTTTGGTGTGCTGCTACTCATTGGCTTTGCATTCACAAATAGCGAAGGAACTAATACGGATCCACCTGTTCTTTGCGAATTTCTCAATCGCAGCAGTTTTGAACCAGGGTTCATATTTGGCTCAGGTTCCGCATCTTACCAGGTTAGTATATATATATCTTCTGGATTATTTACCATATTTTTGGTGTATTTTATACATGGAGTTAGCATCCATGCATGAATTATAATGTTGACATCTTCCTTGCGTGTGTAGTAGTACTCTTACGTATATGCATGTGTGTGTATTTCAGTATGAAGGTGCAGTAAAAGAAGATGGAAGAGGACCAAGCATATGGGATACCTACACCCACAAACATCCAGGTCTGTGATTTAATCAATTGGTAATTAATATGAAAACTTTAGCTACTTCATTTCAAAGGAGTATAAATAGCACCTCATTCTTTTCTTCGTGAGGACAAGTAAACTCCAACCTCTCTAATAACCATGCACTTTGTTGGGAGACCAATAGTACGTGGTCATGTGATATGTACAATATACCTATATACTTCGTCAATGTGCAAGCATATAAAGTACTTTGCACATGATATGGATTTCACCATTATGTTTTTGAATAACTGCAGAAAAAATTGCTGATGGCGGTAACGGAGACGTTGCTATAGATCAATATCACCGCTATAAGGTCTAGAACCTCATAACTTTGTCTCTTGACCCTTTATACTTGAAGGGCACATGTTAACATATTAAATTGGAGCCTTTATATAGATATAAAAATAAATTAAAAAAAAAAAAAAAAAGGGACAATGTTTAATGAGATCCTCAATATTTAATTTTAAACTTTTGTCATTCTAGGAAGATGTGGGGATTATGAAGGATATGGAGTTGGATGCTTACAGATTCTCTATTTCATGGTCCAGATTATTACCAAGTAAGTTGCTCCACATCCTCATATTTCGTTGGGACCAATGTCAATATTGTGCATAAGAATTATTTTTCCTACAAGAAAATTATTGTTTTTATATACTTTTAACTAAAGTAATGTGATTGAGTTATCTACTGGGTAACCCTTAATTTTTTTTCTTGTTATTTTTGTTCTAATTAGATGGAACGTTAAGTGGTGGCGTTAACATGAAAGGAATTGATTATTACAACAATCTCATCAATGAACTCCTACGCAATGGTTAATCATCCTACCTTAAACAATTATTACATGATTTTTTAGAACATCATTCTATCAGACTTTTAATTTGATTTTACTAATCATGTATTACAGGTTTAAAGCCGTTTGTAACACTCTTTCATTGGGATGTTCCCCAAGCTTTAGAAGATGAATATGGTGGTTTCTTAAGCCCTCGTATTGTGTAAGTGAACAAAATTTATTTTCTCATTGATAATTTGATAAAATACATAATGATATATGTAACATAAATTTGTATCTACAGCGATCATTTTAAAGACTATGTAGAACTTTGTTATAAAGAATTTGGTGATCGAGTCAAGCATTGGTTCACGTTAAATGAGCCCCATACTTTTTGTAATATGGGTTATGCTCTTGGGAGTTACGCACCGGGACGCTGCTCTTCTTGGCAAAACCTAAACTGCACCGGTGGAGATTCAGCCATTGAACCATACTTGGTGGCACACCACCTTCTTCTTGCTCATGGAGCAGCTGTAGAATTGTACAAGAACAGATATCAGGTTCAATAACTGTTTTTTTTTTCTTTTTCTTTTTTTTTTTTTTTCGGGTCAAATTATTGGCTCCTAATTGAGAATTCTATATTAATCCTTACTATTGAGTTGTAATACAAGAGGGAATACTCTCGGGAGTAAGATAATCTAAAGGTTGTATCTTTTTCTATAACTCCTATTTATTCAACCAAAATTCATATTTTTGCGTAGGCATCTCAGAAAGGCTTGATAGGAATAACATTGGTGTCACACTGGTTTGAGCCTGCTTTGGAGTCAAAGCAAGACAGAGATGCTGCCTTACGATCTTTGGATTTTATGTTTGGATGGCAAGTGTCTTGTTAAATTATATATAAACCCAATTACATGTTTACTTATGACTTGTAACATTCACACTACCTAGCTAGCAGTACTCTTTGTATATAATGCTATAATTAGGCTTATATTTGGAATTTTCATGTTTTGTAGGTTTTTGGACCCATTAATAACTGGTGACTATCCACACACCATGCGATCAATTGTTGGAAAAAGATTGCCAAAATTCACAAAAGAACAATCCAAGTTGCTAAACGGATCGCTTGATTTTCTTGGAATAAATTATTATACTGCTAGATACGCAACTAGTACACCTAAGAACAATTCACAACCGGCAAGCTACGTAACAGATCCTCAAGCTGATCTTACGAGTGAGTGCCAGGGGAAACTTACTTTGAATAGCTTAAGTTCTTTGTTCTTCTTGACCAAGTTTAACTTCTGAATTATATTAATTATATTCTAATATTTACACCAATTGTATTCTAATGTTTGTAAATATTTTGTCAGCTGAGCTTAATGGAGTACTTATTGGTCCACAGGTATACATCAAATTTATCATTTCGAGCTATTTGCATTTGGAGGATTAGTTTTTTTCCCCAACATTTACGTATTATCTTGAAACGGTGTTGCAGGCTGCTTCAGATTGGTTATATGTATATCCAAAAGGAATTCACGATCTTGTACTCTACACAAAGGAAAAATATAATGATCCGCTCATTTATATTACTGAGAATGGTATGTAATACATACTTTTAAGCCTTGATTATTTGCAAAAGTTTCACATATTTATAATGGTGTAAAATGAAACTACACGTTTTTTTATATTTTTAGAGGAAAAAATAAATTTAATTTTTTGTGCAATAATATGTATGTAGGTGTATCAGAGTTGAATAATCCAAAACTATCACTTGACGAGGCTCTTCATGATACCAGTAGAATTGACTACCATTACCGTCACCTGTGTTACCTTCAAGCGGCGATCAAGTAAGTAGTTATTAACAATTTAATTAAGGCTATATGCTGCCTATCCTTCTTAAGTTATGGTTATTTGATCATTATTTTGACCTTATCCATTTGAACATTTGTGTATGTGTGTGCAGAAATGGTGCGAAAGTGAAGGGATACTTTCCATGGACATTGCTGGACGACTTTGAATGGGCTTCTGGATACACCGTCCGATTTGGATTAAACTACGTGGATTATAATGATGGGCTGAAAAGACACCCAAAACTCTCAGCACACTGGTTCAAAAATTTGCTTAAGAAGAATTGAAGAAATTAAAAGAAAGTTATTGTTCATTATAAACATTTAAGTGGATAATTTTGCTGTTTATGTATTTGTATTTCAATTCCTTCTGCATTTGTGTTTCCTTTAAATAATGTAAGTATTCTTTGAGATTCAATAATTCAATAAAAAGCTATAAGAGCTGTGAATGCTACAGTAAAACCTCTCCCTATAAAGGAATAACTTATTTATAGGGGTAAATTACACTTTACCACCTCAGGTTTGGGGTCTATTACAATCGCATACAACATCTTCACAACATTTCACTTTCATACGCCACTAACTATTTTATTTCAATATAGTACCTCCGTTACATTTTCCATCCATTGATCCGTTAAAAGCTGACGTGGCTGCCACAATTGTACCACGTAGCTGCCAAATTTGTTCCACGTGGCAAAAAAATATTTTTTTATCCATTTAAAGAGAATTAATTAATGAAAAGTTAAAAAAAAAAAAAAAAAAAAACCCATAACCCATGTTCTTCCCCAAGACCCCCCTCTTCCCTACAACCTAAACCTCCCATCACACCCCACCCCAACCTCCCCCCCAACCCTACCCCACCCCACCCCACACCCACCTCCCCCGCAAACCCCCCCCCCACGGCCCTATCTGCAGCTCCCCTGCAACCCCCCACCCAACCCCAAACCCTAAAAAACCCAGTTGTTCAACCCAAAACCCCGAAATCAAAAGGGGGAATTGAATTCCTGAGATGAAGTGAGGGAGTGGGGGTTTTAGGAAGGGCAAAGTAAAGGGAATTCTAGAGGGAGAAAGAAAAGAGACAGAAGAGAGAGAGGGAGAGAGAGAGAAGGGAAGTGGGCTGCGAAGGAGAAAGTAGCTACAAGACCCAACCCATCTTTTTCTCCTTGTCTCCATAGGGGCACCTCTCTGTGTCTTCTGCAACCCTCGCTTCCATAGGGGAACCTCTGTGTGTCTCGGTGGGGTGGGTTGCGGTGGAACGGGGTGGGGGGTTACGGGTGAGGTGGCGATTGGATGAGGTAGGGATGGGGTGGGGTGGGTGGGGTAGGATAGGGGTTTTAGGTTGCAGGGAATGGGGTGTCTTGGGGAAGATGATGGGTTATGGTTTTTTTTTTTTTTTTTAAATAAATTTTCTTTAATTAATTATTTTAAAATGAATAAAAATAAATTTTCCATGTTGCACAAATTTGGTGGCCACGTGGCATAACTATGGCAGCCACGTCAGCTCTTAACGAATCAATGAATGAAAAATGTAACGGAGGTACTATATTGAAATAAAATAGTAGGTGAGGTATGAAAGAGAAATGTTTTGAAGATGTGGTATGCGATTGTAATAGACCCCCAACCAGAGGTGGTAAAGTGTAATTTACCCTATTTATAGTCATAAACAGTTATGGTCCCAGTTTGGGTTCAACAATAAATACCACATTGTAATAAGTTATCATTTTTATTGGTCCTGTTGTAAAGAAACTTGCCTCGACATGGTAGTAATTGTTAATAAGTACAATAATAAGCAAGGCCACAAATAAAAGTTTAACATGGACTAAAATATTTCTCTACTGTGGTTGAAGTTTTTTCATTTGTGTATATAACTTGAGTGGTTGAAGCTTTTTCCTTTGGACAAATGGCGTGAATGGTTGAAGTTTTTCCCTTTGGGCACGTAGCTTGAGTGGCGGAAGATTTTTCCTTTGGACACATAGCTTGAGTGCTCGAAGCTTTTTCCTTTGGGCACATAACTTGAGTGGTTGAAGCTTTTTCCTTTAGGCACATCACTTGAGTGGTTAAAACTTTTTTCTGTGGACACTTAGCTTGAAAGGTAGAAGTTTTTTCAAGTTTCAACCACTCCATATATTGATGTTGCTTCGCACACTCTAGAAGTAGTAGTTATATCCTATGTGCTGAAGCTTTATTGGCCTCCTCCACATGTCATAAAATAATTAATTAATTGCTTAATTAATAATCAATAATTATTTAAACTACTGTTAATTTTTATTTAATGTCGAATTTTTATTTTTAGCCTCCCTTCCCCCCCCCCCCCCCCTTCTTTTTTTATTGAACTAGAGACAAGAAAATGTAGGAGTGACCACATAAATTTCCACGTGTGTGAGGCAAACCAAATGTTGTAGTAATTGAAGGTTCGGAGGAAACATATAAATTGATTTTGCTTCACACGGTCTTGATCGAGAGTGTGAAAGCAATTTTTTGTTGGGTTATTCTCGCATTGTTGAAGAGTTGCATAATTGGCCAAATATGATTTTTCCTTGGACACTATTGTGCATTACCCACCGAAGTTTTGATTTACCATCGTTGGTCAGTAAAGCCAAGATATAATGCTTGCATGTTGTCAATGTGGCTGTCTAGTTTATCGAAGCTTACGACTTCGAAGTTCTTCTAAATGTTGGAGTAGAAAATGCCTGAGGGTTTTAGAAAGCCAACAAATGAGTTTCCTTCAAATTATATCCATGGGAACCCAACTAATTTATTGAAGCTACAATGTTTGACCTTCTGGTACAGTTGAAGGAGATGTTAATAGCGTTTCATACTGCATGGTGCAAATTAAGCCATTGAAGAGTTGAAGCCTATGTGTTGCTTGAACCCTTTTGGAAGCTATATAAATTTATTGACCTCCCAATAGTTGCCTTCCGAACACACATTGGGGTTGTAGTGTTTGCATTGTTAACAAGAGAAATATTTGAAGTAGATGTAAGAGGACTGAAGAGTTTTGCAAGTGACCGCTTCACATTTCGATGTCAAACAGTCTTGTAAAAGTTTAGCCTTTGTATACGATATGTAGCTTTCTAGGTTAATAAAGCTTCAGACTTTTCAAAGTATTACACATGCAGAGAAGCCTTTGTTGGTTTATTAAAGCATCGCTACTGTTGAACGATAAAATTAGATATTAGAGTACGAGTAGTACCCTTCATCGCCTAGTTGGTGATACAAGGTGAGTCCCTTCATTACCAGGTTAGTGACAAAAGTGGAGTACTCGTTCTACTTTCCATCACCTAGTTAGTGGACGAAGGTGAGTTCCTTCATTACCTAGTTGGTGGAAAGCGTGGTAATTTTCCAAAGGAAAGAAATTATTTATTAGAGTATGAGTTGTACCTTTCATCACCTAGTTGCTGATACAAAGGTGAGTTCTTGCATTACCAAGTGGGTGAGAATAATGACGAGTTGTCAAGGCACATTGTAACACATGCCAAAGGGAAAAAGTGTATGTTGACACCTACAGTGAAGGCCCTGAGTGCTATTTTATAATCTACCACAACGCAAAAAGAACACTCGTGGCTCAAGCTACTGGCATATTCACGCAATGACTAATTTGACTTCGGACGAATGGTGTACAAATCTTCAGCGGAGTGTAAGCAATAAGCCTAGAAGATGCGTTGCACCACAAAAAGTCTCTTAAGCGTAGTATAATAATCTATTGTATCAGGTTGAAGACGACAATACCAATTGGGAGGTCCCACAGATAGAATGAAAGGGAAAATGAGACATCGTTCTTCATTACTATGCCTCGGTATGCCATGGTGGATTTAAAGAGATGGATATGCTCAATTGGATCTTCCCTCCCAATTTACGATAGCAAACCAAGCTTCTGTTTTGTTTCTCCTTGTAAAGGGGTGCCAAAAATCCTTCTTGCTAGAGGGCCTGGCCTCGACTGATTCTAGTCAGGTACCTTGGCATGACGTTTGGCCTTTAGTCTGTTCATTCCTTGAGAAGCTGCAGGATAAGGCGGTCCTCAGTGGAGTCAGGCACTATTGGATCCCTCATTCGTAGTTTTCATCATTTATTGGTAGTGGGGAAGTTTAGTCAAGAGTATGTGGCTTTTTTTTTTATTCACCATACTAGCTTCCGGGAAATGCATGTTGGAAGTCCCCCAAGTCTCAAACACCTTCTTGTTCCTCTAAGTCTTGTCGTTTCTTCCTTAGGTTAGTAGTTGACCTTGGTTGTGGTAAGTGAATGATTCCTTTGATGACCCTTGGGTCAATGATCCTTGAGTTTATGTGGATAGGTTTTTCTTGACGATGCCGTAAGAGGTCTTGACAGTCGTGATAACCAGCTGTTGATCATTCCATTCCTTTTACAAGGAGATGTCTTCTTCCACTTGTCTTGCTTCGGTTTAAAGCAGCTAGGTTGAAAGAAGTCTCGTGTTGATCAATATCTTGGGTATAAGGCCTCTCGTCATTAAGAATGCCCGTGTTAAAGACATGTGAATCTTTGCGTTGGTGGGTACCTATGTGTTGATCCGCAGTCACGAAAGCGATGGCTCTTGAGACTGAGTCTGTATAGCCTCGCGAAACATCTCGAAGACATTCTAATATTATTCCTCAAGGATCTCATTCCCTATGGCCATTTTTTTTATTTTATTCTGAGTTCTAACCTCTTTGACTTTACTTCGAAGAGCAGGCTTGATCCTTTCACTCATTCGCTGCCTCACGCTAGGCATGCAAGGGGTGCTTTTCTGCATGTTGTAGCTTCCTTCGCTCCCATGTTGGAGAGGGATGCCTTATCAAATGACAGTGCATGCACGATAGAAACCAGTCTGACAAAGCTGGTGAGAGTAGGAATTATTGTCGTTTCCACAAACAACGCCAAATGTTGATACACAAAATCAATTAAACTTTGGAACAATGTAAAGTGACAAGTTTGTGACCTTCGTAAGGTTGCTTCAATCACCAAGTGAGGATACTATGTAAATAGATAGAGGTAAGGAAGCAAACACTAGAAGTACATGGTTCAACCTAAGTTAGGTTACGTCCATGAGGGTAGATGAGTTCTTATTAATAGTGAAAAGTTTACACAATACATAGGTTTAAGCATAATCATTATTTGTGAGTTCTAAGGACGAGTTTAAGTACAATAATGGCATTAGAAATTAATTGTAGGAGAACGGTCTCCTTTTATAGATAAGGAAAGTCTTCGGATCCTGTCCACGATTGATCTTGGACTCTAGGAGCTTTATTTTGATGTTCACATGTGTCGTGTTGTGATTAGTCTCTGGATTGGGGAGGAACTCGCGTGCTTCAGCAAGGGTGCCTCCACATGAGCTCTTCAGTGGGCCCTTGAAGGTGCGGAGTTGACCGGTGATTGGTAGTTTGGGGAGTGATGAAGTACGGTACAAACAACAAATATCAAATTTTCCTAAAGCTCTTAAATGTATATTTTATCTATTTAGACGTGATTACTTTGCCAAATCCCCATTGTGCTCATTTACTTTTGTAAATCTCGTCGTTCCCTTCGAATCCAAAAATTATGAGCCAAAACTGACAAGAGCATAGATACGTTAACTCGAACAATTTAAACAGTCCAAAAAATAAACTTTGGGGAATATTACAATGATAAATAACCTATTAACCTATAAAATAACAATTCTTCTGTCATTTTTCTTAATTCAATGTCGGTCCCTTTTTTAATTTTATTGCGTCACCTAATTTTAACTTATATTAGTTATAACACAAGAGTGGTCCTTGTGGCTGGGGTTAATTGTAACACGCAACTGTGAAAAAATTAAATCCCTCGGCTCGAGGACGGGGTTATCCTATAAAAAGATCCACTTGTCATATAACTATTGTACTGAAAGATATATCTTTCCATGAAGAGGAAGAAATGGAGACGGAATTCTATAAATCAGAGCTGAGGAATACTTAAGGGAAGAATATTTTATATTTTATAAAATACAGATACGCTATATTTTGGTATGCTTAAAAAAAAAAATACTAACAGATGTCACGTTTCACGATATATATAGTAGTGGGGGATTATGGGACAAAAAATAATTCCGTTTGGCATGGTGCTAGAACCTTGTTTCGAGATGTTTTGCTGGTATTGATCCAGATTTAGATGCTCACGTGGAATTTGGAGCATTCGAAAAACTTTGGGATCCAACTACAAGAAGGCAAGTAGTCTGATACAATATGCTTTGTTACTTGTTGCTTTTCATTTTTATTTTCTTTTTGTGATTTTTAGATGGGTTACCAGATAAATCTTGATTTGAATCACTGCCTTTTCTTTGACTCTAGTTCTTTACTTACCCGAGAGACGATCCCAAATAAATAGGTATGAAAGCTATAATTGTAAACCACGATCGAATCTATGGAAGCATTGGTTTATACATTCCCTTTAGTCTCAACTCTAGGAATAATTTTTTTTCGCTATCCTTTTTTGAGAACCACCTAAAGTTCCAACTAAAAAGGTCAAATGATTTCTCATTATCTCAATTGAAGTACAGATCCTTCCCTTGTTCCTCGAATGGATCTCTTAGTTGTTGAGAGGGTTGCCCAAAAGAAGTATATAAGGCGTACAAGTTTTTGGCTAATAAAGGGATCAAATGGTATAATTCTTTTGTTGGTAGATTGGAGGAATAGAAACATGACTATTGCTTTCCAATTGGCTGTTTTTGCATTAATTGCTACTTCATTAATCTTACTGATTAGTGTGCCTGTTGTATTTGCTTCCCCTGAGTGTTGGTCGGGTAACAAAAATGTTCTACTTTCTGGCATATTAGTTTTCAGGTTGTGAGACACATTAAAATTCAATGTAAGCCCCAAAATTTCAAATAAAGAAAAAAAATAGAAAAATCTGAGGGGGGGGGGTCAAACTTTTGTGTTTTTGAATTATAAAAATTTATATAAATGAAAAATATTAAATCAAAATAAATAGATGTATGCTAGTAAAAAACGAGTCTCTTGAAACTGCTAATCAATTTCTTGTACTACCAAGAAGAAGCCACACCAATGGGTATTCTTTCACAATCTTTAGAAGCAGAATAGCGAATTTGAGAACCAAGCTATTTCGATGCCTTCTTAATTAGCGTGGCAAGACAATTTCACAAAACCACTGGGTTTGCGGATTCAATATTAAAACTCCATCTAGAAGAAAAAGATCAAGATTAAATTCCTCATCTTTATCGATTATGAACTTACGTAAAGAATTATGGTCATAAATTTCTACTTCTTTGTTTCGTCAAATAATTTTCTATTGTTTGAATATGTCTCTATAGCTAATCCTCCATATTCAACTTCAAAAGTTATGCCCTTCAACAATTGGACAGACATAATATAAACAAGCAGATAAATGACTCTTTGTTTCCAACTGCAAAAAACATTTTGTTTTGTTGGAAAACTCAAGGGCAACTCAAGGATTGATCATTTCAAATTAAGACGAGTTAGATCGAATTGTTGTGTACATTATCTTACTTTTCAACACTAGGAATAATTTTTTTTTTATAAATAATGTATTTTTGTAGTATAAGTTATTAATTTCTTAATCTTAATTTGAATATCATAGATGCAAATAACTATTCAAATTGAAGAGTGTTTAGTCACCAAATGTATCAATAAAATGAATAGTTCGTTACAAATCGTTTACTTAGTGTCTACACTGTCGATTGGGTTCATATATTCAAATGACTAAACGATCTCAGACTCAAATAATTCTTTTTGTTTAGATGATCTTGAAATAAAGATTAAGAAACTGAACGATCACAATATAAAATTTGTAGAATATGTGCATTCCCCATAGGTGGAACGCAATGATTATCCATTCTTTTACTTACATACACAACTTTTGGGTACAAGAAACGTGCTTTCTTTTAAATTACAGACCATGACTTGGTCTTTAAACTAGGACTTTCAAAGCCAATTTTGTTTACAAATTTTAACCCTTTACTATTCTCATTCTTGTACTAGCAAGAAGAATGTGTTACTACTATACTATTCTCATTCTTGAGAACCTAGTTATTTCCAAAACCACTGGGTTTAACAATTCAATATTAAAACTCTCACAAGAAGAAAAAGATCAAGACTAAATTCTTCATCTTTATCGGTTCTGTACTTACGTAAAGAATTTTGTTCATAAATTTCTACTTTTTTGTTCGGTCAAATAATTATCTACTGTTTGAACAATACTCTGTAGCTAATCTACCGTATTCAACTTCAAAAGTTATGCCTTCAACAGTTGGACAGACATAATATAAACATGAAGATAAATGACTCTTTGTTTCCTAATGCAGTTAACGTTTTCTTTTGCTGGAAAACTCAAGGGTACCGCAAGGATTGATCATTTCAAATTAAGATGAGATTTGTGATATCCCGTCCCCAAAATTATTATTTTATTTTATTGTTGACGTATTTCGAAGATTTGATTGGAACTAGTTCTTTATTTCTCCAAATTTAAGAAAACGAAGTGAGGGGTGCTTTAGTCATTTCTAATTTTCTCGACCTTTTCGGTCAACTCTTGAATTGGTTAGGTAGAGTTCGATTCCATGAGCGCGTAGGCGTAAACAGATCTTATTTCCGAGTCCGAACAGAGAAGTTAGAGTCGTTTGAAGTTGGTGGCATTTTGGTTATATTACCAAAATGCTATAAATTGGGGGGATTTCAGAAAATGGAAGAAGGAAAACTGCACTAAACCGTTTTAGGGGGAAATTTGACCCATAAACCCACCAAACTTGACCCGCTTGTATCTTTTTCATCCGAGCTCCGTTTTGGATGATCTTTGTGTCCCTGGAAAGCTCTTGACGAGCTCTACATCTCTGTGATTTTATATTTTCCCATTTCTTTTTCCATCCGTGCAGTTCGAGGTCGCAAAGTCCACGACCTTGCCGGCGGATTTATCATCTTTCCGGCGATTCAGGCAACGATTTCCTTCGAGTGAGGTATGAAACTTCATCTACTCTTCATAATCTTCAAGTGGATATGCTTAGTTTGTGCTTTCGTATTCATTTTAGAGTTGAGTGTTTAGAACACCTAGAAATCCGGTTTTCTCCGGTGAAATTGGACTGTTTCCGGTTAGAATTTATCGCCGGCCTAGTTGTGAAAAGTGTTTCCCTTGTTGAGCTCTAGCTACCACGTAAATTTGAGCTCCTCTAGTTAATGTTGAAATTCGGGGTTTGTAAACCCTCCATCTTGGCTTCCACCGCGTGTGGCGGTGCGTGGGATTGTTCACGAGTGTTGTCTAGGTTTTAAATACCTTCTAGTGACCATGTGAACCTATGTCTAGCTTGGTTTCCAAAGATTCAATTGTTGGGTGTGTAGATCAAATTTCTTGATCAAGGGTTTGGTTCAAAGGTCAATTTCTTGTTAATTTTGAGTCATGCTAGTTTTGGATGTTGTATACATGACTTCTGGACTACCGGAAAGTATTTTGGGATGTGTTATATGAATTGGAAGTGGGTTGTTACGTAAGTTGCAGAAAATTGATTTCTTTGCAAAGAAAACTCAAGTTTCGAGTAGCCTTCTTTGGCTCTTAATTTCTAGGCCTTTATGTGCTCCTTTGGAGAAAATTTTTAGTGTGTCGAAAGTACATATGCTCATGATCGTAACCCAATTGTTTTCACTCAATTTCGTTGAGTTTTGGTTTATCAAAACCTTCTTTAAGTTTGGGTCGCGGGCTGCCAAACAGCAGCAGAAAATTGGGTTTCCAGTTTCAAGACTCCGTTTTTCCTTTTGGCATAACTTCCAATTTAGAGCTCCGTTTTCTACAAACTTTGTATGCTTTTAAAGTACAGAACACAAGCTTCAAAACCCATATAATATCACATGATTTGGTTTAGTTTGGAATGTCCCAATGGGAGCCTAAACTTGGTCTAACAGTGCTGTTTTCTGCGGATTTTGTGGAGAAGTAGAGTACTTTTTTTGCCACACCTATTTTCTTTTCCAGTTTCCTTTCTAATCTTCTTTACTACTAATTGAGTGATATTATTGGAGTGGTAGATTCCATAATCAGTGTACTTTCTTTAGATAATATTAATTTTGTTCCTTTGAAGAGCCTAATCGGAACACAAAAGTACAATCAAGAGTATAAATACAAGTAGCACACATTACTAACCAAACTAAGCTATTAAAATGTGATTTCTTTTATAATTGGCCATCGATCTATTTTATTAAATGTGGTTTGATTATGGATGGGTAATATTGTGGAAAAGTGATTCGAATTGCATATTGAAATGTGAATTATATATATACATACGCCATAGACCCATGTTAATTAAATGTGAATTCTATTGAAGTGTTATTTTATTTGTGGCCAGTGATCTATTTTCAGTAAGTATGATTTGACTTGTGGATTGGAAATATGGTTTGTATTGTATGATTGGATTGATGTGATGAAATGCGAGAGCTAGTAGTGGACCTTTAATCCATTGTTATGGGGTTTGTTGCTTCGAAACATGTTTCAACCCTCGTGTCATTATTCATTCTCGTTTCATTGAGTCTTTGTACCTTGAGTAACTTGATCCATGTCTTGTTTTATTGATTGGCGTTACACATTCTACTCTGCGATTTCGTTGAGTGATGGTCCGAAATCGTATCCTGGTTTGGATTCCGTTGAGGGAAGGTCCGGAATCCTTCCTACTCCACTCCGCGATTCCGTTGAGTGATGGTCAGGAATCGTATCTTGGTTTGGGTTCCGTTGAGTGATGGTCCGGAATCCCTCTTACTCCATGATCCCGTTGAGTGATGGTCCGGGATTGTATCCACCTTAGTTCATTGAGTTTAGTTTGAGATGGTTGCAAAGGTGTAGGCTTTGGATGAACAGTGTTGCCCTAATTCTTCTTTCATTGTGTGTATGTGAATATGGGTGTGAGATGTTATGGTTGTTTGGGATGAACTTTTGGATGTCTGGGTGACTCCCTCGGAGTTTTCAAAAGTTTGGTATTAATTTCTTATGAAGGATTTATATTCAATGTTTATAAATTTTGATTGATGGCTGGGTTTATTATTGTATCACATGCTTATTTTATTGTCCCTCACCCGAGCCTCTCAGCTTATCTGAGTGCCTGAATTGCCAGTGCACCAATTCCATAATATTGGCATTGACTTTACATATGACAGGTCTGGGTAGATTATGAGAAACCGCTTGATATTTTGGTTCCGTTGAGTGGTCCGGAACCCAATGTTGTTGGATTATGTTGAGTGGTCCGGAATCCTTGCTCTTGTTCATTCCGTAAGGTGATTTAGAATCCGAAATTCGAGTAGATGGGAATTACCCACAATAGATATTGTGAAAATAAATTAGAATTACCATGTTATTATTCTTAACCCAAATTGGGAATTATGTAGAGTTCTTTAATTAAATTCGTGAAATGATATGTTATCTCATTGATTGATTAACGTAATTAAATGTTAATATTGTACTTCGTGATTCCTTGATATGTTACCAGCTATGTATTGAAATATAATGTTGGAAGTATAGTGATTAGTATGATGAAGTGAAATGTGATGTAACTTGGGTATTGGAAATGGTTATGACACATGATTGTAATGCATATTGAATTGCTTGGGAGATGTGAGGTCTAGTAAATGACCGATGACCCATTATGATGTGGATTTTACTCAAATATTGCTTCGTTTCGTTGAGTTTCGTGAATTGGGTAACTTGAATCATGTCTTGTTCCTTCGAGCCGTTGTTATGTTTCTTGGACTTCCGTTCAATTCGGTTGGGTGGATTGGAACTGAGTTCTGTTTGGATTCCGTTGAGTGATGGTCCGGAATCCCCTTTGGAGCCTCGGTCCGTTGTGCGGTCCAAAAATCCCCTTTTCCAAAGATGTAGTCTTCAACTGAATTGTGTTGCTCTAGCCTTGCGTTTCGACTTGTTGTATGTGTTATTGATGATGTGATGGTTGACATTATTGATTGATGTGATTGTGGAATGACGTTGGATACGAGTGGAGTTATCATGAGTATTTTAGTTGATTAATGTTTCTAGAGATTAATATGTTCTTTGTTAATTCTTAAATATGTTACTCGCTATGAAACGCGAATTTTTGTGGGAAACGTGAGGAATTTATGTGAGGGTTGAAGTGGATATGTTAATCGTCATGTGGGATTGTTATGTTGGATACCATGGTTATTGTTATGACTAGACTTGTTGATAAATGTGGCTAGAGAATGGTATTATACATCGTTGGTTCTTTGAAATGATATATGTTGTGAATTGCGGTATCATGTTGTGACATAATGGCCTATATATTGATGGAGGGGAAATCATGATTTTCAGATGGGTTGTTATGTAACCCTGAGTCTAGTATTTTCATGCTTGTCAAGTTCTATTGATTGATTGAGAAATGTTATACCTTTCGACTTAATCGGACTGTGTTATATGTCAATTTTTGTGCATGACGAACTACGAATGGCTTGATCCCTGTCTAGGGTACGTAGGCAGTCTAACAGGGAGGTTAGATGCAGCCATAAAGCATACGAAAATAACTATGTGATTCGATTATTAAGTTGTGCTTGGCCATATCCCGGAGGTGGGATATGATAGATACAGATTTTTTATGACGCCACGTGTCAATTCTGGACGTATGTCGGGATTGGGGCGTGACAAGATTGATCGAACAGTTGTGTACATTATCTTACTTTTCAACTCAAGGAATAATTTTTTTTGTATAAATAATGTATTTTTATATGTATAGTATAAGTTATTAATTTTTTAATCTTAATTTGAATATCATATATACAAAGAACTATTCAAATTGAAGACAGTTTAGTATTAATACTGTTGATTGGGTTCATATATTTAAATGACTAAATGATCTCATATTCAAACAATTCTTTTTGTTTCGATGATCTTCAAATAATGATTAAGAAACTGAACCATCACGATACACAATTTGTAGAATATGTGTATTGGTCATTGGTGGAACGCAAGGATTATCCATTCTTTTACGTACGTACGCACGCACCTTTTGGGCACCTGAAATGTATTTTATACATGCAGTTAGCATCCATGCATGAATTATAATGTTGACATCTTCCTTGCGTGTGTAGTAGTACTCTTACGTATATAAATGTGTGTATATTTCAGTATGAAGGTGCAGTAAAAGAAGATGGAAGAGGACCAAGCATATGGGATACCTACACCCACAAACATCCAGGTCTGTGATTTGATCAATTGGTAATTAATATAAAAACTTTAGCTACTTCCTTTCAAAGGAGTATAAATAGCACCTCATTCTTTTCTTCGTGAGGATAAGTAAACTCCAACCTCTCTAATAACCATGCACTTTGTTGGGAGACCAATAGTACGTGGTCATGTGATATGTACAATATACGTATATACTTCATCAATGTGCATGCATATAAAGTACTTTGCACATGACATGGATTTCACCATTATGTTTTTTAATAACTGCAAAAAAAATCGCTGATGGCGGTAACGAAGACGTTGCTATAGATCAATATCACCGCTATAAGGTCTAGAACCTCATTACTTTGTCTCTTGACCCTTTATAGTTGAAGGTCACATGTTAACATATTAAATTGGAGCCTTTATAAAAAAAAAAAAAAAAAGGGACAATGTTTAATGAGATCCTCAATATTTAATTTTAAACTTTTGTCATTCTAGGAAGATGTGGGGATTATGAAGGATATGGAGTTGGATGCTTACAGATTCTCTATTTCATGGTCCAGAATATTACCAAGTAATTTGCTCCACTTTCTCATATTTCGTTGGCACCAATGTCAATATTGTGCATAAGAATTATTTTTCCTACAAGAAAATTATTCTCTTTGTATACTTTTAACTAAAGTAATGTGATTGAGTTATCTACTGGGTAACCCTTTTTATTTCTTGCTATTTTTGTTCTAATTAGATGGAGCGTTAAGTGGTGGCGTTAACATGAAAGGAATTGATTATTACAACAATCTCATCAATGAACTCCTACGCAATGGTTAATTATCCTACCTTAAACAATTATTACATGATTTTTCAGAACATCATTCAATCAGACTTTTAATTTGATTTTACTGATGATGTATTATAGGTTTAAAGCCGTTTGTAACACTCTTTCATTGGGATGTTCCCCAAGCTTTAGAAGATGAATATGGTGGTTTCTTAAGCCCTCGTATTGTGTAAGTGAACAAAATTTATTTTCTCATTGATAATTTGATAAAATACATACTAATATACGTAACATAAATTTGTATCTACAGCGATCATTTTAAAGACAATGCAGAACTTTGTTATAAAGAATTTGGTGATCGAGTCAAGCACTGGTTCACGTTAAATGAGCCACATACTTTTAGTAATATGGGTTATGCTCTTGGGAGTTGTGCACCGGGACGCTGCTCTTCTTGGCAAAACCTAAACTGCACCGGTGGAGATTCGGCCATTGAACAATACTTGGTGGCACACCACCTTCTTCTTGCTCATGGAGCATCTGTAGAATTGTACACGAACAGATATCAGGTTCAATAACTGTTTTTTTTTTCTTTTTTTTTTTTTTTTTTTTGGGTCAGATTATTGGCTCCTAAATAAGAATTCTATATTAATCCTTATTATTGAGTTGTATTACAAGAGGGAATACTCTCGGTAGTAAGATAATCTAAAGGATGAATCTTTATTTTGATGTTGACTTGTGTCGTGTTGCGAATAGTCTCTTGATTGGGGAGGAACTCGTGTGCTTCAGCAAGGGTGCCTCCATATGAGCTCTTCAATGGGCCCTTGAAGGTAAGAAGTTGACCGGTGATTGGTAGTTTAGGGAGTGATGAAGTACGGTACAAACAACAAATATCAAATTTTCCTAAAGCTCTTAAATGGATATTTTATCTATTTCGACGTGATTACTTTGCCGAATCCCCATTGTGCTCATTTACTTTTGTAAATCTCGTTGTTCCCTTCGAATCCATACATTATGAGCCAAAACTGACAAGAACATAGCTACGTTAACTCGAACAATTTAAACAGTCCAAAACATAAACTTTGGGGAATACGACAATGATAAATAACCTATTAACCTATAAAATAACAATTCTTCTGTCATTTTTCTTAATTCAATGTCGGTCCCTTCTTTAATTTTATTGCGTCACCTAATTTTAACTTATATTAGTTATAACACAAGAGTGGTCCTTGTGGCTGGGGTTAACTCTAACACGCAGCTGTGAAAAAATTAAAGCCCTTGGCACTAGGACGAGGTTATCCTTTAAAAAGATCCACTTTTCATATAACTATTGTATTGAAAGATATATCTTTCCATGAAGAGGAAGAAATGGATAAAAGGAATTCTATAAATTAGAGATGAGGAACACTTAAAGGAAGAATATTTTATATTTTAAAAAATACAGTTACGCTATATTTTGTTATGCATAAAAAAAATCGAATGAGTAAAAAAAAAATACAAACAGATGTCACGTTTCATGATATATGTAGTAGTGGGGGATTATGGGACAAAAAGTAATTCCATTTGGCATGGTGCTAGAACCTAGTTTCGATATGTTTTTGCTGGTATTGATCCAAATTTAGATGCTCAAGTGGAATTTGGTGCATTCCAAAAACTTTGAGATCCAACTACAAGAAGACAAGTAGTCTGATACAATATGCTTTGTCACTTGTTGCTTTTGTGTTTTTTTGAAAAAAAATTAGAAAAATAAAGAAAAAAATTAGAAAAATTTGAGGGCGGGGGGTCAAACTTTTATGTTTTTGAATTATAAAAATATATATAAATGAAAAATATTAAATCAAAATAAATAGATGTAAGCTAATAAAAAACGAGTCTCTTGAAACTGCTAATCATTTTCTTGTACTACCAAGATGAAGCCACCCCAATGGGTATCGTTTCACAATCTTTAGGAGGACAATAGCCAATTTGAGAACCTAGCTATTTCGATGACTTCTTAATTAGCGTGGAAAGACAATTTCACAAAACCACTGGGTTTACGGATTCAATATTAAAACTCTAACAAGAAGAAAAAGGTCAAGATTAAATTCTTCATCTTTATCGATTTTGTACTTACGTAAAGAATTATGGTCATAAATTTCTACTTTTTGGTTGGGTCAAATGATTTTCTATTGTTTGAATAAGTCTCTATAGCTAATCCTCCATATTCAACTTCAAAAGTTATGCCCTTCAACAGTTGGACAGACATAATATAAACAAGCAGATAAATGACTCTTTGTTTCCAAATGCAGAAAACATTTTGTTTTGCTGGAAAACTCAAGGGCAACTCAAGGATTGATCATTTCAAATTAAGACGAGATCGATCGAACTATTGTGTACATTATCTTACTTTTCAACCCAAGGAATAAATTTTTTTTTATAAATAATGTATTTCTGTAGTATAAGTTATTAATTTCTTAATCTTAATTTGAATATCATAGATGCAAATAACTATTCAAATTGAAGACTGTTTAGTCGCCAAATGTATCAATAAAATGAACGGTTCGTTATAAATCTTTTACTTAGTGTCTACACTGTCGATTTGGTTCATATATTTAAATGACTAAACGATCTCAAACTCAAATAATTCTTTTTGTTTAGATGATCTTGAAATAAAGATTAAGAAACTGAACGATCACAATATAAAATTTGTAGAATATGTGCATTACCCATAGGTGGAACGCAAGGATTATCCATTCTTTTACTTACATACACAACTTTTGGGTGCAAGAAACGTGCTTTCTTTTAAATTACAGACCATGACTTGGTCTTTAAACTAGGACTTTCAAAGCCAATTTTGTTTACAAATTTTAACCCTTTACTATTCTCATTCTTGTACTAGCAAGAAGAATGTGTTACTACTATACTTTGAAGGGTGTCCAAACCTTCTTAAAAGCCACTTCAATGGTATCCTTTCACAATCTTTAGGAGCAAAATAGCCAACTTGAGAGCCTAGTTATTTCCAAAACCACTGGGTTGACAAATTCAATATTAAAACTCTCACAAGAAGAAAAAGATCAAGACTAAATTCTTCATCTTTATCGGTTCTGTACATACGTAAAGAATTTTGTTCATAAATTTCTACTTTTTTGTTCAGTCAAATAATTATCTACTGTTTGAACAATTCTCTGTAGCTAATCTACCATATTGAACTTCAAAAGTTATGCCTTCAACAGTTGGACAGACATAATATAAACATGAAGATAAATGACTATTTGTTTCCTAATGCAGTTAACGTTTTCTTTTGCTGGAAAACGCAAGGGTAACTCAAGGATTTATAATTTCAAATTAAGATGAGATTGATCGAGCAGTTGTGTACATTATCTTACTTTTCAACTCAAGGAATAACTTTTTTTGTATAAATAATGTATTTTTATATGCATAGTACAAGTTATTAATTTTTTAATCTTAATTTTGAATGTCATATATACAAAGAACTATTCAAATTGAAGAGAGTTTAGTTATCCAAATATATCAATAAAATGAATAATTCATTATAAATCTTTTACTTAGTATTAATACTGTTGATTGGGTTAATATATTTAAATGACTAAATGATCTCATATTCAAATAAAGATTAAGAAACTGAACCATCACGATACAAAATTTGTAGAATATGTGTATTCCTCATTGGTGGAACGCAAGGATTATCCATTCTTTTACGTACGCACGCAACTTTTGGGCAGTTGAAATGTGCTTTCTTTTAAACTACAGACCTTGACTTGGCCTTTAAACTAGGACTTTCAAAGCCAATTTTGTTGACAAATTCTAACCCTTTACTATTCTCATGAGCTAGTACGTAGACACCATATCCCTTCCTCCCTTTCTCTATATAAACCCCATGCAATCTTCCAGGAGGAGATAACTTAATTATCTCTATCGATATCAAAACTCCCAAGTTATGGCAATGAAATATTCACGATCTTTGCTCTTTGGTGTGCTGCTACTCATTGGCTTTGCATTCACAAATAGCGAAGGAACTAATACGGATCCACCTGTTCTTTGCGAATTTCTCAATCGCAGCAGTTTTGAACCAGGGTTCATATTTGGCTCAGGTTCCGCATCTTACCAGGTTAGTATATATATATCTTCTGGATTATTTACCATATTTTTGGTGTATTTTATACATGGAGTTAGCATCCATGCATGAATTATAATGTTGACATCTTCCTTGCGTGTGTAGTAGTACTCTTACGTATATGCATGTGTGTGTATTTCAGTATGAAGGTGCAGTAAAAGAAGATGGAAGAGGACCAAGCATATGGGATACCTACACCCACAAACATCCAGGTCTGTGATTTAATCAATTGGTAATTAATATGAAAACTTTAGCTACTTCATTTCAAAGGAGTATAAATAGCACCTCATTCTTTTCTTCGTGAGGACAAGTAAACTCCAACCTCTCTAATAACCATGCACTTTGTTGGGAGACCAATAGTACGTGGTCATGTGATATGTACAATATACGTATATACTTCGTCAATGTGCAAGCATATAAAGTACTTTGCACATGATATGGATTTCACCATTATGTTTTTGAATAACTGCAGAAAAAATTGCTGATGGCGGTAACGGAGACGTTGCTATAGATCAATATCACCGCTATAAGGTCTAGAACCTCATAACTTTGTCTCTTGACCCTTTATACTTGAAGGGCACATGTTAACATATTAAATTGGAGCCTTTATATAGATATAAAAAAAAAAAAAAAAAAAAAAAAAAAAGGGACAATGTTTAATGAGATCCTCAATATTTAATTTTAAACTTTTGTCATTCTAGGAAGATGTGGGGATTATGAAGGATATGGAGTTGGATGCTTACAGATTCTCTATTTCATGGTCCAGATTATTACCAAGTAAGTTGCTCCACATCCTCATATTTCGTTGGGACCAATATCAATATTGTGCATAAGAATTATTTTTCCTACAAGAAAATTATTGTTTTTATATACTTTTAACTAAAGTAATGTGATTGAGTTATCTACTGGGTAACCCTTATTTTTTTTCTTGTTATTTTTGTTCTAATTAGATGGAACGTTAAGTGGTGGCGTTAACATGAAAGGAATTGATTATTACAACAATCTCATCAATGAACTCCTACGCAATGGTTAATCATCCTACCTTAAACAATTATTACATGATTTTTTAGAACATCATTCTATCAGACTTTTAATTTGATTTTACTAATCATGTATTACAGG